TGAGCCTTCGCCGGATTGATACTGCGGAGAAGCTTTGTCCGTTTTACTTCCACACGTCTTTGATTCAGGGTCTGCACGTAGCTGCTGAAGTGCATTCGTTCTTCGTCGTTTAAGTCTTCTAGGACTGCCATTCGTTAATGTAGATTTCCATTTAGCTCCTTAATCTTCATTGCGACACCCTCGAGTCGCTTCTCAGCATATCTGTTTAACGTTATGTTCGAGATTATCGTCTGTCTACTACGAAAGGACCTCCAGTGTTGGTGAGGATGTTCACATTTAATTATGCAGTTTGTGATGAAATCAGTAACCACATTCGCTTCGACAAGGTGGGTGTTGAAACGCAATTACTCATTAAGTACCTTTAACACCGAGGGATCTTTGGATTGTTTAAGTTCAGCGATGATACCCAAATAAGCATTCAGGAAGTCAAGTTAGGCGAACGAACGTTTTCGATTAATTAATCATCAGGCAAATACAATAATATAAGGGAGGGTACAGTTAACGAAAGTTTAAAAAACCAATCACTAGCACTCAGGGGAAAATGGGAGGGGTGAAGAGGTGTAAAGGGATGAAAGTTGTCAGATTCTGGTCGCCTAACTTGACTTCCGGAAGGCTTAGATGGGTATCATCGCTGACATTAAATAAGCCAAAGTTACCACGGTAGTCGGAAGACATGAAAGAGGGTCCTTGATTTCGAAAATGCCAAATTTGTCATTTTAATCAAAAACGTATTCAATTCACTGAAAACAAAATTAGGCACATAAACCACATAACACCGGCAGATCACAAGGACTGAATTATGACCGAGGACTGCAATAACCAACATCGGGAAGAAAAGTGTAGGCAAAATTTACATGTGAGGGCTGAGACTGTTCGGTATCAGCATCCTTATATTTGAGGGAAATGTTGGTGTGTACCTTTGAACTTGTCGTGATTGGAATATAGTCGTGTTATTCAGAACGCACTAGCCAAAGAGTCGAGGAGAATGAAGAATCGAGTACCCTAGAATAGGGCTATACTCATCTTATAATTGCCGTACAAGAACTAAAAAGGGATA